CACACACACACACACACACACACACACACACACACACCGATGCCCTCCCACCCCTCACTCATCATTTACATTCCACACTGCCCCCTCTGCTTCACCCAACCCCCCTCTTCTTCTTCTTCTTCTTCTTCTCTTTTTTTTCTGCTTTTCCCTTCGCTGGCCCCTCGGCTCCTTTTCCTCACACACACACACAAACACACACACATTCACTCTTTCGCTTTTACCCCTACAGGCGATTCTCGCTCTCTTAGCCAACGATAACTTGTTTTAAAGGAGCTAACCATCCATCAAGTCCAGTTAGATTTATTTATTTATTTATTTCTTGCTTTAGTTTTAAAACACACGTGGATGGACAGTTTGATGATTTGCTGTTTTTTCTGTATTTGGAAATATTTTCACGGATCCTTCAGGATGGGATTATTGATCTCACAGACACTTTGTTTTGTGGAATGGGTGATTTCTGTAAATAAGGTTGGTAGCACACAGACTAACTCACTAAGTGTTTTTGTCTGAACTTATTTAAAGTGAAACATGTTTAGCTTTTTATAATTTAGGTCTGAAAAACGCACCTTTTTTGTCCTCGATCAGCCGTGATGATTGTTTTTTTTTCTTTTTATAGTAAATTGTTCGGTTTCCATTTCTTCTGCGCACCTCCTATTACGGTTCTCTCTCCTCTCCTGCTGTCCCTCATTTCCCCTTTTTCACACTCAACAGATTGTCTCAACATCCAGGATTTACCGCATCGAGACATGGCACTTCCCTTTCTGTCTCCCCTCTCCCTGTCTTCCTGCGGCTCTCAGGCGCAGACAGAAAGCCTGGCCTCTTTTCATTAGAGGCCACTGTAACAACAAATTGATGTAGTTTTATAGCCAGCAGTGTCTATGTTTGTCTGACATTTATGTTGGGTCGTTAATCTCCCTATTGACCTCTCCATCTATCCTCTTTCTGCCCATGCTCCCTCGTTCCCTCCATTTAGCTCTCCCATTGGTGGSCTGCAGATCCGCTATGACTCCTCGGGGTCGTTGCCGGGGCCAGGGTTGGGGTTGCTAGGGGCCGGGGGAGGAGGCGGCGGCGAGACACTGCCCCCGGTGGCCACCAGCATCGAGCAGCTCCTGGAGAGGCAGTGGAACGAAGGGCAGAGCTTCCTGCTGCAGCATGGAGCTCAGGGGGACGGTGAGTGGACGCACCTCAGATTTAGGTTTTTATTTGTTTGTTTGCTTGTTTTTCCACTTCCTGCCCACGTCTGTCTGAGTCTGTCACCCTGCTTTGCTTCCAGCTGCTTGTTTTATCTTTTCACTGTTCCCTCTGCTGATATCCCTCAGTTATCTGTTTATCTTAACGTCCCTTCAGGGATCAATAAAGCGAAAATGAAAAAGTGAAGCGATGGCTGTCCAGGTGTTAGAAAAGCCATCCTTCAACCGGAGCAGCCGGACTGAAAGTCTCMTCTCATCCTCCAAACCTGTACTCAGTCAGAACGAGCGTCAGGGCAACTGTAACCGACTCTGACCTTTGAACTCCCTGTGGAGCATCAGTCACAGCTGTTGTGTGGAGGCAGTTAGTGTTTCAGCGTTAGAACGTTACTCGTTTCACAAGTTATCCAGAGGAGTTAGATGAAATCTGCTGCAGCCGAAACTATCTTCTTGTTGCTAAAAAATAGCAAAATGCTAGCTAAATCTTAATATAGCAACGTGCTAGCTAAATCTTAATATGTCACATAGCAATATACTGTTTCTGTGGATTGATGTATGTATCTGCTGCTGCTATTACACCTGAATCCTGTTCTGTTCTATTCTATTCTATATAGCAACATGCTAGCTAAATTAGCAAAACACAAAAGTGCTAAAAGTTGAATGCAACAAAAGATTAGCTAAAAGTTGAAAGTAGTAGAGCTCCTTAAATGTATCGTAAGGTCAGCTAAAGTCTAGTTGAAGTTTCAGGCTAGCTAAAAGCTATAATCTGTAGAATGCTTGCTAAAAGAAGCTAAATGTTACATGAAAGCTAGAAGTAGTAATGCGSGCTAAAACCAACAAACTACTGTCTAAAAGTATCATAAGCTTAGGTCAAGGCTAAGTGTTGCTAAAGACTAGATTAACGTGAAGCATGTTAGCTAAAAGTTAATTGTATTAACAGTATAGCTAAAAGCTAATATTGTAAAACACTTGCCAAAAGCTAAAAGGCTAAAAATATAAAATTTTCACTAACAATAGGCTAGCTAAAGGGTAAAGGTAGCAAAAAGGTGACTAAAAGCTAAAAGTAATAAAACACTAGCTAAATGCAACTAAATGTTTGCTAAAAGCTTAGTCACACAAGAATGACTAAATGTTAAAAGTAGCAAAATACTTGGGAATAGTAACAAAATGCTAGCTAAATCTTAATATGCTAACATGCTAGCTGAATGAGCAAAACACAAGCTAAAAGTACCAAAAGTGTCTAAAAGTTGAATTCAGCAAAAGGTTAGCTAAAAGTTACAAGCAGTAAAGCTGCTTAAATGTATCGTAATGTCAGCTAGGACTAATTGTAGCTTTATGCTAGCTAAAAGCTAGAATTACTAAAATGCTTGCTAAAAGAAGCTAAATGTTACATGAAAGCTAGAAGTAGTAAAATGCTCGCTAATAGCAGCAAACTTCTATCTAAAATTATCATAAGCTTAAGTAAAGGCTAAATGTTGCTAAAAACTAGATTACAGCAAAACATGTTAGCTAAAAGGTCACAGTATTAACATTACAGCTAAAAGCTAATATTTTAAAACACTTGCCAAAAGCTGAAAGGCTGAAAATATAAAATGTTTAGTAACAATAGGCTAGCTAACGGCTAAAAGTAGCAAAAAGGTGACTAAAAGCTAAAAGTTTTAAAAAAACTAGCTAAATGCAACTAAATGTTTCCTAGAAGTGAAGTCACACAAGGCTGGCTAAAAGTTAAAAGTAGCAAAAGACTAGGGAGTAGTAGCAAAAGGCTGGCTAAAAGTAACATATTTAGACATGATTAGAGCAATAATCTGAAGCAGGATTCAAAGAGAACCGAGTTTTTAAAGAGATTTCTGTGTATTTTAACCATGAAAATATTTGTAAATAAGGTTAAATATTTCAAAAATTATAAAAGTTACAAAACCTAAAAGTAATATCACCCATCTCCTGAATGAGCTGAATGATTTGAGACTCGACCTGCTAAAATAGCAGAAAATAAGCAGAAGTGGTTGGATGGGTGTGAATCAGCGTTCACACCAACAACAAACTGAAACTGAAACGTCTTTCAACTGGATCCACCAGAATCTGTGTCCAGGTGTAATTTCTACTTTTCTTCAGGGCTCAGCTGTGGAAGGAGTTTGTAAAAGTAAAAGTTTTCTCCTCTCTCCATCAGTGGTGGGGATGCTGAAGTCCCTCCACCAGCTGCAGGAGGAGAACAGGAGGCTGGAGGAGCAGATCAAAACTCTGACCATGAAGAAGGAGAGGCTGCAGCTCCTCAGCGCTCAGTTATCAGTGCCTTTCACTCCATCAACCCCCTCCGGTAAAATCCCCCCCTCACACACACAAGCCAAGCTCAGGGTGACTGTAGAGGCTGTGCAATAGTCTTAAACCACCTCTAATTTATTCTTTGCTTCCTACTTGTGGTTTTAAATCAGTAGCTCTCTGAGGTTTCTGAAAAGTACCTGAGATCTCAGCTTCTGCTCATTTCCTGCCTGAATTCTCTGAGTATTTTGCTTTTCATTTGTCTTGACGTAACATCAGTGGTAACTGTGGGACTTTTGTTTGTTTGCTGTAGATGTGAAAGGAGTCCACCTCGGAGGCACAGACTCCTCTTTACCTGTGGCAGCTCAGGTGAGAACCAAGGTTATAAT